GTGCGTTGTATCAAGCGAACATTCGCCCACGTCAATGGGGAGCCAAGCCTTTAAAGAATGAGGGACCTCTGGTCACAAGTGTGATACGACATTTTGTCCCATTGGTTTTGTTCTTTAGTCAGAAGTATCGTCAATGGGGGCCGAAGACTGTCCCGGAGAATTCATAATTAGGCACTGAAACCTGGCCTAGAGAATTCTTCATTGGGAACCAAAGTCTTGCCCACAGAATTGGTCGCTGGGAGGAGATATCATCGCCTGTGTCATCGAAGTCAACCCGTGTTGCGTCACTGAGATCAAGGCCGTCAAGTGGAGACGTCGCAGTGGAGAACTTGACTTTGCTGTGATCTTTTTCTTCGAGGTCAAGCCAGGAAACCACTTACCTAAAGTCAATGAACTGTGAGACATGTAGTGACACTGAAGGAGATCAAATATGGTTTTGCAAGGATGGATGCTAGCCGTGTGTCATGTTTCAAGCGTGTTTAATGAAGAGCGCTGATCAGCTGATATTTACAGTTGCGGTATTCCTGTGAGTGGAGCGATCGATTTCCTCTAAGCTGCTTCTGAGTGTGAATTGGAAATGCTTCACCATTATTGTTTGGATGCGATATTCATGAGGTGATGTACTTTGTGGTTAGTTTTTGGATTCATAAGTTTATTGCATTGTTCGCTGCATTGTGTATGCTTGGTAGCCTTATGTTTCTTGTCTTTTGATCTGTTATTCATCGTCAAAGTAGTGTGTTTAGGTCGTCCAGTTAAGTTTAGGCTACGTGAATATTGTAAAGGTCTCCGTGCGTGATTAGTGTGCCATTTTATAGCATCTCGTCATACCGCGTAAAAATACTGACATGTCATTCAGCGAATTCGTTCAGATGGCTAGAGACCTAGGCCTGGGGGCAGAACATGTAGTCACCTTCGCAGAGGCTAGGATGAGAGAGCTATCTGAAAGAGAGGCCGCCATGAGGGAAGAGAGAGCTGCGGAGAGGGCCCATAGGAGGGAGATGGCAGAGGTAGAAGCCATGACAGTTACAGCTAATAAAGAGCTGGAATTAGCTCGGATCGAAAGAGATAGGGCTGTAGCTCTGGCAGAGGCCAGCAAGACGGCGGATGCAAAGGAAGGTAACAAAGATTATGGTGATCATGATTTGAGCAACTACA